CGCTTTTTGGCGATATAATTGAGGGTTTTCTTGGGCCAATTTTTCGTTCAATTTTTTTATTTCCTCCTCTTTCTTTTTGTAGGTCTCGTCGCCTTCATTTTCCTCCATCTTTTCTAATTCTTTTTTTAAATCTTCACCACTTTTGTTTTGAGCGTTTTGAATTTCTTCATTTAATTTACTTTCTTTTTCTTTGCTTTGCCTTTTACTCCTAATATCGGCTAAAACCTTATCTCGAAAATTATTAATCTCGTCTATTTTTGAAAAAGAGTTTATTTTTGCTTCTCAATTGGTGTAATCAGAACCTAATTCGCTACTTAATATTTTTGGTTCTTGGTTTAGAGCCTCGTTTATTTTCTGAATGGCATCGGTTTTAGTCTGTTCGTAATTGTCAGGAGTATTATTTTGTTTTGGTTCTTGTTGTTCTGGCTCGACCACTCTATCCCCAAAAGCAATTTTGAAAAATCCTTCCAGAGCCGTTAAGTCAATTTGGCGGTCAGAAGTTAGATAATTTTCAGCGGTCGCATTCAAAAATTCGGTTTCCGTAACCTTGTATTTGTTAATTAAACTTTTTAACTGGCTATTTCCATCTTTTCCATTCCAAGCCTGCTGAAAAATTTCGGCCAGAGTAGGGGGTGGATTACCATTTTCATCCGAATTAGAATCATTGTTATCATTAGACGAAGTGTCGTCATTTGTTTCATTTATCTCCTCCTCGCCCAAAATAGCCTTGTCAAAAGTATTATCGTCTAAATATAGGTAGGCATTGTCGTATTTTGCTTTAAAAATGGCTCTTGCTGCGATAATTCCTTGTAAAGTAATTTTCTTTTCTTGATTATTTTTTCATTGTTTTATCAATTCCCACACCTCACGAGCCTTTTCCCCACTAATCACCAAATTTTTTCTACCTTGATAACCAGTAAAAGTAAAATTGGCCTGGGTTTCGACTTCTAACTTTAATTCTTTTTTGTATTCATTTCATTCTCCTAAAACTCATTCACTACTATTAGAATCTCATTCTTTTTCAATTTTATCAATGACTAATGTTGATTGTTGAAAAGTAATTGGTTTAAAATAACTATCATACTTTCGGGTTTTGTCAAAATTAATTTCCGCTACATTAAACATTCCTAACTCCTTTTTCGTTCGGGAAATGTCACTATCATCCATTTCAAAACAATATTTTTTGCGAGTACCAAAATATTGTTGAAAAAAAAGAATATCATCATGATGAGCAATAATCCTAATACGGTTTATTTTTTCGACATTTTGTTTACTTTTATTTATTTCGTAAACATTCATAGTTAACTCGTACTCGCTACCATACACTTTATTGGGGACACCGCCCACAATCGAGTCATAAGAAAATTGTAATTTAGCCATGTGAATATTTATTGACGTCTTATATTGTAATTTAACCCAAGTTAGCAAGAAGTCCCCCATCCTCTTTTAGGTGGTGGGATGAATTGCTAAAATATAACATATAC